TACTTCTACGCTGTTCATCTGTTTCGCCAAGGAAAATGTCAGCCATAAGAATAACATGTTGTTCACTGAAGCGTTACACTTTTTTATATTCATGGCATGTAGTTCCTGAGGTTTTTACGCGATGATGCCTTTGCTGTATACTTCATAGTGCTAGTGCCCTATTTAGCATACCAACCGTAGTGTTCCATGCCGCACTATGGCTTGTAGTGCGTAGTGCTACTTCATAGTGCTAGTGTCCTATTTAGCATGCCAACCGTAGTGTTCCATGTCGCACTATATAGTAGGCACTACGGCTTGTAGTGCGTAGTGCTACTTCGTAGTGCCAGTGCCCTATTTAGCATACGGGCCAATAATTCAAGTGAATATATTAGAACAGACAATGATTTTATTTTCAAAATAAAATTGTATGAAATGCTCTACAAGTGGAAAGACGATACTAAAAATAAACAGATCAACTATGTGTTTCCTCCTCCAAGTTTGAAGTGTTGCATAAATGGGAAATGGAACTGCGCAAAAATGTCATTGCCACTGAAGTTGTTATTGGAGAATTTAATTGATTTCAACGACCTTTGCCTGTATAGCAAATCAACTCATCAGCCTGAATATAAGTTATTGAAAAATGCTTTCGATAAGGGATATAATAAATCTGAAATCATTTATTTATGTTCCAACGGCAATGGCAATTTTGATGATTATCATGAAAACTTACCTAAAAAACGCCAACAAAAATGTGCAATCGAATTCTTTCAGAATACTGCTTCTGTACCTGATCGAAGTGACATAGATCCTAGCAAGAAAAATTTGTTCATGCTTGATGATATTGTACGGAAAAAATCCAAATCATGCTGATAGTTTTTACAGCCGTGGAAGACATAACAACTTTAGTTCACTTTATTTATCCCAAAAATTATCACATATTACCAAGACAAACCATTAGAACGAATTCAAATCAATTAATTCTATTCGATTTACCTTTCAAGGCTTTCATCGATGTGAAGATTATTCACAGTGATTACATTGCATGCGATATGCCCTTTGCAGAGTTTCAAGAACTGTGTAATGAAACGTACAAAGTACAATACAGTTTTGTGTTGATCAGTAAAGATGAGCACCCAGGTTCTGGAAAATATTTTAAAAATCTAAATTAATTATATATTCCAAAGAAGTATCTCCCATCGTAACACTAGGTCAAGTCCTGAGATTAAAAAGTGCATAGTCAGTCGGAGGTAAATGATGCAGGTTTTTGATCGGGGGACAGTGATCAAATTTTAGATAGCCAAGATTCAAAATAAAATTGTGGGTAAATGATTGGAACCCTGTGATTTAAGTTGTCCATACAAACTGTGATGGTGAGCTCGATTTTCCACCTACTTGTGCTGGTTCATATCTACAGGTATGTCCCTAGAAGAATGTTTCAGCCATTCGAGTGAGCACTTTCAGTAAGTACAGTAGGTATTTAATTAATAGTATTTTTTCTTTTTACCGCATTTTCTCATTTACGGAAAAAAGGCGCTATTGTGCTCGTCATGTCCGTCTGTCTGTCCGTGACTTCACGTTTCCGTCGACGAGGAAATGCGCTCTGTCACTCACTGCAGTGAGAACTGAGTTATATTTCTTAGGATATTCTGTAGCCATTGCGGGACAGATTGAGAGTCCAATATGCGGAAAATTCAGCTACTCATTGTTTAGCAATGAATAAATGTCTTCGGAATTGCACCGTCACCAAATGAAACGACCGGAACCCTTTTCACAGTCCATCCAATTCGCAGCTCTGCCATGAATATCCTTAAACATAAATGGACCGTGCGCTGTACATGTAACATGCAAAGAAATCAACGGCAACAAACAAGGGCCTGTAAAATTACGAGGCCGCTCTTCTTGATTATGTTTGCGTAGGCCTCTGTCTGGCGCGGTGCAATATAATTTAGCGGATTTTTGTGAAGGAAATTAGCCGACAGACAGATGCCCTAATTACAGGGTACTTGACATTGAATAATTTCCTGTCTAGCGTGATAAGCAATTGTGTGCCAGCAATGTCGAGTTACACTGTTACAGTATGTTGCGTGCCGTTAATGTGGAGTTTCAGGAGTTTACGCGTCACTAATGTGGAATTTCATGAGTTTGCGTGCCAGCAATGTTGAGTTATAGTATGTTGCGTGCCATTAATGTGGAGTTTCATGAGTTTTCGTGCCATCAATGATGAGTTTTAGGATAGTGTGAAATTAAAATTAGAATGTGGTGCCACCAGTGTTGAGTTTTATGATAGGGTGCCATCAATGTTAAGGTTTTAGACATGAAAATTTAAAGAAAATTTCGGATTGTATTCTCCAGGCGTTGAGTTTTTGGAGTTTACGTCCCGTCACTTACGAGTTAAATAGGATAGGGTTCCATCAATTATTATTTTTAGGAGCTAATTGAGACAAATATTTGGCATTACCAGTTATTATTACTGCAATGTTGACTTCAATGCCGCCACCTAAGCTTTGATTTAACACCTCAGAGGTTCTAAAGCATAAATTTAAAATTTCTAGAGTAGGGTGCCATTAACGCTGAATTTTGAGCGTTTCCGCAAGATTTCTTCTGAATTTTCCTATATACTGAAAAATTACTGGATTATTTTTAAAATTCCTGTCCCAATTAATGTTTCGTTTTGAGTGTTGAGTGACAAATATATTAAACGTATGCAGTCATATTCAATTTTATAGTTCACATATCTTCATTGTGCGATATTCAGAGGTGAATGTAAGAATGTTGATGCAATGAATAGTGAATAAGTGAAAAGGTTTAATTCAGGAATATTTGATCAGGGATTAATTGTGAAATTAACGACCAGAGACTATCGATGCACCTCGTGTGGTCCAAAAGCGATAAATGCAATTACTTTTTATATAATTTTACTGATTTAATGTCCCATAGGCACAATACTGAGTGAAATGTTAACATTACAATATAGATAACTAGAAATTGGATTATGTTTAATCTGCAGATTATAAATAATTATTATGTAAGATGGAGAGAATTTATGGAAATTATTAATGAATAATTTTCCGGTAAAATGTATTTCTGCACTGAATGTAAAAAGAAAAAAATTCATTTTTGACAGATTGGAAATTAAGTGAAAACTACGAATGGTGCGAAGTACGAAAATCGATTATATATTCATGCCTATAAGCCTATGGCTCAGGCGAACTTTCAACACAAGTGATTCCAATGAGTTCTATTCGATGTCTTCGGACAACATGTTTAATTTCTGTAAGTTGAATTCAGAATATTTGCTATGAATCTAATAATTTAAACATTTCGATGCAAGGTCTAAAAAATTCTATAATCTGAAAATTTCAGTGCAAGATGCTAGCGAGACTATTTCAGACAATAATTCATGAACAAATGGCAGGATCGTGAAACTAATTTACCGAAATAATTCGCTCCTAAGGCAGGTATGAAATGAATGCGGGAGTGTGAAATGTCATATGAACTTCGGTTTCAAGAAATAAGGCTAGAAAAGGTCGGAACAAGAATGTTACAGGGAGCATCTCTATGAAATTGCCTTTACAATGCCTTCGGCTAAGCCCGTCAATCCAAGACGAGGTGTCAGAATTTCTCAACTTTTGAGGCAGCAGCGGCCGCTCTAGGGACTTCATTGCAGTCACTAAGCCATATTGCATAGTGGGACCAACACTGGCTGTAGCGAGCGCATATTTGGCCACCGGTGGGCCAACTATAAAATTTTCCAGTGTAAATAGAACTGTTGGTTGAGCGGCAAATGCATCTGTAATTCTTCTTGTTCACCGATACCTGCTAAATAATATACAAATGAATATACGAATCCATGAAAATTTTTAAACGTGCAAATAATGAAATATTTTTTGTTAAATATCGGACGGTAACTAGGAGACATAAAATAAATGAACTCTTTTCAGCCTGATCAGTTGCAGATACAACACGCAGTTACCTTCTACAACACGCAATGATGAAGACGACCAGTTTTAATTCCTTTTAGATATATTGAATCATTATATTTCACGATATAAGCTACAAATATTTGCATAAAATGATAAAACGGAGTAATTTAAATTGCACCTCAACTGTATTTTTTAGAGCATTAGAGCACTGATAAGTAAATAGCCCAATGAGACGGTTTTACACTGCGAATAATAAATTTAATGAAAAATAAAACCACAGTTAAATTGAAATGGGGAAAAAACGTTATGAGTGCATGTAATTGCATGATTTAAGGTTACACATTCCGCTGTTTGATATTATAATCTGATAAAACTCTGCGGTAGATAGTCTCGGTATTTAATTTATCTATTCATCACAGGTTCTGATTCATCAGTCACAACTGCACTTAAGTCGCCTTGTTTATCTCAGTAAAATATAAATCGGAGATTCTTGAAAACAGTTGAACTGTGATTTTTTGTACCATGCGGATAAAGCTAATGGTCTCTTGACTTGTGCAAGTCCGTTCTTTCTTGTTTTAGCAAAACCGAGGAATTAGGGGTGAGTGGATGGTAAATGAAGCACGGTGTTTAGCTATTTAATTGAATAATTTCTAACTCTAAAAATCCTAATACCTTTTTGATGAATTTATTGCGTTCCCTTTCCGATATCTTCTAAATAATTATTTCGGTCTTAATTAATTAATTCACCAATAAATTAATAAGGCCAACCACAAATTTTCGAAAGTGATTTTCTTTAAAAACTTTCAAAGAACCGCATTAAATTTCGAAATCCGTAACTTATCGTTCAGGCATCGTGTATTCCGTGCAATATTCTGAATTTTTTTTGACCCGCGCACGTTCAAACGCAGAGAGCCTCGCAACTGACAGTTAGAGCTTCAGTGAGACTTTTTGCAATGCGCGTGCGTCGCGCACTGCGAGATATTACGAAGAGCTTGTCAGGGCGATACTATCCCTGCTATATTATCCTTGCAATACAGGAATAGCGTTATTATCATATGTAGATTTTTTATTTGTGTATGTAATGAACTCCGCACGAAGGATGCGGTGTATAAAGCTTATTTCATTTACTACCTCTCGCCATGATACTGTTGATGCTGCACGAAAGATGTCTACGAAGTACACCATTCGTTTACGTAGCATTGTTGGGGGATTTTAATAATTTAAGATGAATGTTATACACGGGTTAGAGGCTACCTGATTGTTAAAGGACGCCAGAAGCCATTAATGCTGCGAGGAAATAAGTCATGTTTAAAAATCGCGTACGCGATGCCAGAGTTGAAAATTAAAAAAAAAACCTAATAAATACTCGATCATCTTAGAACATGTCATAGGTATAATAATGCGAATATTCAGATGCCACAATCGATTTTTATCATATCATTGTACATATTGTAAACATTATATTCTAGTGAATATTTAATTTAATCAAATGACGATAGGCTACTTCATTTCACCATTATATTTGACTAGCAACAGGATGCATGAATAACCTATCATTTCAGATTCAAATTATGGCATGGATGAAACATTACAACTCTAGCGTGATGCTATTGCTAAAATATAATTTTCATTATTGACAAAGCTTCAATATTATAACTGGCATGTTGCCTTCATCTCATCATCATCAAACAGATTCTCTCCTAATTGATTCAGGTATAGGCTGCAGGTCTGGCATTAAACAAATTAGGCATTAAAGAACTTTCAAGAAATAAAGTGAAGCTGAGCGTGCGTAAATTCTCGATAAAAACGGAATATTCTTAATGGTTCCGTTCTAGACGGCAATGGAGGAAATCCTGTAATTAATTGACCGGATCAGTCGAGGGAAGAGCTTAGAATTTCTAGGTATTGATTAAAAACTATTGAAATAAAATCCATGCCTTAGATATATTATGAAAATATGTTTATTTATTCTAAAAAATTTGACTATTTAAAGTTTATATCACATACACAGAGACACGAAGATGTATAATTTCAGGTAGAGTATAGCTATATCTATTCATAATAAAACTCTTCATAAGCGTTTCTTCGTAGCTACAACGAAGAGATCTGTTCAGCTGCGAACACGGAGAAACGGCAGCCGTGATGTTATGTGTATATCTAGGTTATTTTTTGAAAGCACATAATTCATATTTAAATAAAAAAGTTCAAAGTCGTCCATCTTCCCAGTTAGGTTTTGTTTTGTTACAAAGAAATAATACTGATCGTGGAGAGGACGAGGCTTTAAAACTTCCTTCAAACTGGGTATCCTTCAGTAGGGTAGACTTTTTGGAGGGTAGAATACAGTTTAAGTAGACCTCTCAGCGAGTAGACTTCTGCCTTTGAAGACCTCTGAGCGGGTAGAATTTTGTCAGGGAACGTTTCAAGGGGTATATTGTGTCTGGGCTTCTTTCTTTGGAGGCGGTTAGACTACTCTCTGGGGAAACTTCTGTTGGAATAGAATTCCGTCAGGGCAGGGTTCCGTAGAGGTAGGTTTCAGTCGGGGCAGACTTTTGAGGGGGTAGACTCTTGTCTTCACAAACTTCTGTGGCAGTAGACTTCTGTCTAAGCTGGTTTCTTTCAGCATGGAAAGTTCTACGACAGCTCATGAATAATTTCATTATCTGAATCCTACTAATATAGATTTCTAACAAAATTTATTATTAAGTTATCTAACATAATTTATGCCCTTAATAAGCGGTCACAATTAATTTATTTTACAATATTTTAGTTGATTCTCGACCTTCATTGATGAATTTTGTAATAGTCTTTTGAAGATATAAAAAGTTTTTTGGCGTGTAAAGATATCTATGCGTGATTTTACAGTAATATCGGGAAAAAATTGATTCGAAGAAACTCAGAATTTTATGTTCAAACAAGGAATCAAGAAATACGTTTGAAGGAAATTTTTTGGAACCTTTCAAATGCCTGCAGCTGCAATGCTAACATTTTTGGAAAAAGTTATTCATATAAATGCAGAAACCAATAATGAGAATATATTCAAAGCCTTATCAAAACCTGAGACTCCATTGAATAGTTCTTTCTTTTTGTGGATACGTTATTGTTTCACTTAAATACGCCAGTGCTTCAATTCGGCACTTCATTAATTCATTTGGCAACATCAGAGCACCATTTCGGTGCTACATCACTGCAGCTGGAAACTTGATTCCTGAAGCTGAGCAACAGATTTCTTGAGTGGAACACTTGCTTCTTCCACCCTGACACTCAATTCTTCCAGCCGAACACTTGATTCCTCCAGCCGGACACTTGATTCCTCCAGTTGTACACATGATTCCTCCATTTGTACACATGATTCCTCCAGCCGGACACTTGATTCCTCCAGTTGTACACATGATTCCTCCATTTGTACACATGATTCCTCCAGCCGGACACTTGATTCCTCTAGTTGTACACTTGATTCCTCTCGCTTAACGCGCTTAACGCTCGATTCCTTCAGCCGAACACCCAATCCTGCCATCGGGCCACTTCAGTCATACTCTGAGCCGATGGTGATGCTGAGTTCGTCCGACACGATCAATGTTTTATGGTACCACGCGTTGGTGTCCAGCACGACTGCACGGGGAGGACATGGCTATTGTGAGGCGGTCAAATTATAAACCTATAATTACAATTATGTAAACTATTTGCACTTTGGCATGAGGGAAGCAAAATGTTGAAAACTTAATTACGGGTTTATTGGTTATTAATTGGTGTGATGAGTCCGTCGAGGCTTTGTTCACGGCCTTGGTAATTGATATTTCAGCTCCTTTGTAAGCGAAAAATTCGTTTGAAAGTAAATTGTGTTAGGCTTACAAGTATTTGTTCGTAGGAACAAATAATATAACTGAAGGTGTTCATCAGTTATATTGAAAAATGTGAAGTTATTATTATTCAGCGCGCAATATAACATTCAACTTCTTTATTTAGTTCGCGATAGTTTTGGATAACCTCATTGGTGCTCTTACATATGGGACCGAACTTTCGCTCCAGCCTGATGCAATATGCAAAAGTTTTATACTGGACTCACTGAAGTTACCACTTGTGACAGGGCTCACTCACTGATGTTGCCAGTGGTGACAGGGCTTACCTACTTATGTTGCCAGTGGTGACAAGGCTTACCTACTGATGTTGCCAGTGGTGACAGGGCTTCCCTTCTGATGTTGCCAGTGGTGACAGGACCTACTTACTGATGTTGCCAGCATTGACAGAGCTTACTTACTGATGTTGCCAGCGGTGACAGGACCTACTTACTGATGTTGCCAGGATGTACAGTAACGCTGAGTGTCTGGCACTGGAAGTAACACTCAGGCGGAGGCTCCAGCGTCCAGGTTTTACTGCCACGAATTTGCGCTTGCCAGGACGGCTTGCCGACGTGGTCGATCTGAGCAGAAGAGAAAACGCTTTGCATTAAATAATTTTTTGGTGATCAGGGCATTATAAGCAACCCAGTATTTCTTTTTACCTCGAGTGATTATAAAACCGACAAAATTTTCCTGGCGTTGGCAGCGAGTACTTGGTATTTATAGTATCTTAAAAGCCGTGGATATTTTCCAGCTCTTGAATCTGGCAAGTGCAAGGATAGGAAAGGCATCAGCTTGAGTCGTCAATTCTTGGTACACCATTATTGTGCTTATAAATACATATGATGAGATTTAATCGGATGGCGGACATTTTCGTTAAGAAGTCCCAGGCATTAAACGTTTATTATGTGCCTACTGTTATTATAATATTAATGATAGTTTTGTTAAATGTTATCAAATACAGCAAGACTCGAGCGCAACTCTACAACCTGCTTAAATATTTTCAGAATTTTTTTTTAACTAATCGCAACTTAAAAATTTATCGTAGTCTTGTGATTGTGAAAGTGAGATGACTGATGATGATGAGACTCTTGACGTAAGGGGCAATTGGTATTTCATAATAATATTTATCATAAAATATTAATATGACACACACACACACATATATATTATAATAAAAACTGAATTGACATTCATAATGTTCAAATCGAAAATCAAGTAATTATTATCATTAGAAGCTATTCTGTCAGGAGGTTCTAGCGAACCAATATTTGTTATTCAGTTTATTTAGCGAAGCAAAACTTGTACCAAAATGTCCAAAACTTTTTCCGAAATGTTTGCAGTTCAGAGCAACAAGTTCATGCTCCCGAGAGCTCGAGCTTTAGCTCGTCCCAGTTCTGAATAAATCGTTTGCGACAAATTTTTTTTCTTCATTTTTGATCGAATAAATTTCTAAAACGGCTTATGAATTTAGAGCACTGAAGCTCAAGGATGAGACTGGCTGCCGCACGTACGTTAGAAAGATTTTATTTTAACGAATGTATTCAGTCACTTAAGAAACTATAGTGAAGTTAGAATGCAATACCAAATAAACGAATAATGAGATTCTAGACGATTTATGTATTCTTATTTTTGTAACGAAAAGCGAAATAAAGCCTCTGAATATTTTAACAATGATAATCAAAAACTTGTATCTATGAGGCGACTAGTATTAGTAATTCATAGCATTCAACGATAATGAATTAATGGTAATCGTTACAAAAAGATTGTTAACGCAACGGAGAATATGGCTCTAGAAAATTTTGCCTCAGAAATTGTTGTTTTGAACTATGAGTTATTTGATAATTTTGAATTTATTCAGATTAATGCTTGAGGTATGATTTATCAATTGAAAATATCTTTGAAAATTTGATAAGTGCAGCATCTATGCACAACAAATATAAAATTTCAATTAACCAACCTTAATTGAACAAAGTATAATTTATTTTGAAGTACGGATTGTTCAGTAATTTTCCATTATACTTGAAAATTTTTTGGAAAATTTGTCAGCCAGTTATATGAGGGCCAATGAGGGAGTCAGTTTTATGAGGGAACGATGAGGGAGTCAGTTTGATGAGTCAACGATGAGGGCAGGAACAATGACGTGGAGGTGTGTCCTGATCACGTAGCCTACATACGTGGAGGTGTGTCCTGATCACGTAGCCTACATACGTGGAGGTGTGCCCTGATCACGTAGCCTACATACGTGGAGGTGTGCTCCGTATCCCTTGGTGCCCATGAAGATCCAGTCCATCTTGGAGGCCTCGGACGCCTCGGGCAGGAAGTAGGGGCGGGTGTAGTGCTGTCGCAGCTCGTTCGCCGCGGCAGAGTCGCAGTTACTCCTGCGCCGCGGTAATTGGGAGTAAATTAGTACAGGCGCATGTACACGGGGACAGTAGTACTGGCGGCCAGTAACAACTTTCAAATACTAACCGCCACTATTCACTGTGCTACTGGTGGCCTAGTGTACAGGCGTTACAGGCCACGAGGCAGTGGTTAGCCATTAGTGAAGGTGCATGTACACGGAGATAGTAGTGGCAGCCAGTACAACTTTTAAAAAGTAACCGTGACTGTTCATCGTGCTACTAGGCTCGTGTACGGGCGCTATAGGCCACGAAAGGTCACAGTAACCTATGAAATAAGGCCAGTAGCTTTATTATTAGTCGCAGTTAGTATTTAAATATGATACAGGCCGCTACTAACGTCCCCGTGTACAACTTAAGAATAGGACGAGCAGGCCACGCAGGTGCCCAACTAAAATGGATGAAAAATTTCTCAGAAAATCTAGAAAATTTTGCTAAATGAATTAAAATTGTCATCACTATTTCTGAATATTGCAGTACGAATGGACTGTTATCCAATCCTCAATTCGATATGTTTGTTTCATGTGTGATTTGACTGCAACGTAATCTCTACCATGATGTCGTAAATGTCCTAACTCCTTCAAATGTTTCATCAGAATCATCGTAGTTATCCGCGTGTTAACACGATAATTTTTATGGAATATAATTATGCAGACAAGCGTGGGAGATCATGTCACGTCTATAGCGTGACAAGAAATAATATAAAACTGACAGCCTTCGGCTGTCCAATGCTTTAATGGCTGCCAAAACTGACATTCCGCCTATTAAATTTTTGCAAAAGTTTAAATCATTATTTTGACGATCAATTTAGGACACCGGTTCTTGTCAGCGGGAAATCATACAAACTGCCTCGCTATAATCATGAAACTTTCCACATATTTTAGTGGATATTTCGAGCAAACTTTCTAGGCCTTGCACTGTTATGCATTTTATAGGCCATCAGAGGCTGCGGAATGGCCTGATCAAAATGACTGTTCGTGGTCGTCATTTGTCATCTTGTTTGAAATAATAAATGCGGCGCTTCGTTGCTACGCTTCGTTGCTACGCTTGCACATGACGAAAATAATTGTGACTGAAATTGTAACGATGTAAATGATTTTTTGCTGTCTCTTTTTTAAGTATTAATTCAGAGTGTCTTGTATGATAATTTTCCACCTAATATACAATATATTTTACTTGGCTCACCCGCCACTCACCACCCAATATACCAGGGTTCACCCCTCATGTTGACCCTGTCTCTGCTCATATTGAAGACGTCTCTGAGGCTGCTGAAGCTGGTCTGGTAAGGAAAGAACTGGCAGTCTCTGTAGCTGTGGCTCAGCACGGGCGAGTCTGGCGCGTAAATGTTCTTGAAGAAATCGAAGGAAAAAGTTCGCGGCGCCGTCCAGTCCCGCTGGCCGTCCAGCACCAGCACTGGCCTGCCTGTGTATGCGTATCTGAGGAATTTAAACAGCGTAATATTATTCATAGAATACGAAGATATAATTTACAGATATTACAATATTGATATGTGTAAAAACCAAGTTTTCACATTCTTGATAAAGTAACAGTAACCTGCAATCAATAAGATAATTTATTAAATTTAATTTTGTAATAAATTAAAACATTAAGCATAGATGGAATTTTTCAAATTTTTCAATACTGCGGAAAAAATGATACCGTATTTTCAACAGGATGGTAGATTTTTCAGAAATAATATTGGTTTTTATAATGAACTATCGGGTTTGGCGTGGCCCAGAATATTCTATTCTTGTAAATTGAGAATTCGATTAGTCCAAATTCCGACCACACAAATCTGGTCATCCTGAAATCTCGTCATCCCGCGTCCAGTTTTTAATTTTTACACTGCATTTCTAGAATACGTACAGCCGCTGCTCCTCATTTTAGCGAACAGTGACGAAATTTTCATAATTAAAATTTTTATAGACGGGAAGGAAGTGTCGCGAGCTCGCCTTTGTTCGAAGAGTTGTGGGGAAAGTCGGGCGACCTTGTCGACGTGCGTGACGTTGCGGCACATGGCGCAGTCCACGACGGGACGGAAGATGTCCTGGAAACGGTCCGGCAGCTCGATGGTGCACTGCAGGACATGAGAAGATAGCTTATAACAAGTGAATAATGGGGATGGTGAATAGGGGCAATCCCAATTTATTGAAGACTTCCTGGTTAGCCTTGCGTTATGGAAAATCGCGAATCTCATTAATTTTAGAATTCTGTTATCATGAATCAAGCTAATAGAAATAAACCTAATGCGAGTTGATTAAATAAAAAAAGTTTTTACGCCATATTTTACAGAAAATGTAGAAATCTCATGTAATTTTCGTTTGAAAAGAGGAAAAAATTATTCTTTTCAATTTTAATTTGAATATCCCAATTTAAAAATAAAATTTCAATTAATGATCCAACGCCGCTCTGAAATACCTTACTATTCTCCTACTATAAATAAAGTTTCTGGTCCAAGCAATATCCCAACTCTACAAACATCCCGGACTCGCACCTAAACAGCCACGATATAGTGCTGTACCCTATACAACGAACAGCCCCATACAACAGCCCTATAGCGCTTTATTATCAGTAACACACATACTTTCATAATTATGTACAAGATTGATATTTATAGTAAGGTGGCCTCAGGATTGTCAATGATGTTGTAAGAAGCACGATAAAACTAATTATGAAACGAATTTGTATCTTGGATTCTGGTGTACTGATCAATAATAATTCACAAGAATTAAATAATTACAGTTTTAAAAATAAAACACAGTGTGAGGATTAGACGCTTGCCAACATAATGTTAGACGGAGTTTTGAGAAAAGAGAATGCTGATTAAGTTATAACGGCAAAGTACTAGACTAGATTATTATTATTATTCCGGTATTAGATGTTTGTTGTTTTGAGTAGGAAATTCTATAGAAATATTGCGCTAACTGGGGCCGCATTCTCAAAACTCGCTTAAGTAATTGGAACGACCGATTTCTCGTCTGCGATTGGTGGGTTTAGTACGAAAAACCGTCAATGAGTGGCTTTAAGAATTGTAAAAATTTTCTATACTATGGCCCGAGATACATAAAAAAGTATATAAAAATTGTACGTACGCTATATTTTGAACACTGATAATAATTTTAATAGATTACGCATGTTTTTCGTTAACAAAGTGATATCCAACATCCCGAGTGTCAAGATAGGATAAGGTTGCCGGGCAAGAAGCGAGTCATCCAATTGACTTTTATTAAAATAAACGAGCTGTAACGAGCTTAATTAAGGCCTCAGAAGTCAACTCCTGATCACGAGCCTCCCTCATTGAAAACTAGAGCCGCGTAAGAGAGGCTGTCCCTGACTCACCTATAATCTTACACGAATCGGAATGACCCTGCTAATGACAGCTGCATTCCTCAAATATTTCGGTGGTTATTAATGATATCCCTCCACTTCAGAGAGGCCAAATTAAAGGGAAGTCTGCCATTCAAAAAGATTTTTAAACTAATGGAACGATCTTTCTGAAACTTCGTAGACAAACGTAAAAGATTAATACAAGAACATTTCGTTTCTATGAATTTTATTGAAAAATGAAAGAAAAAAGTGGGATGCATGGAAAACGGAATAATTGGGACTTTTATAAATCTATTTCATTTTTTTAATTTACGAGCCACGACATAGAAACATACCATTCGATTCGTAATGCAAATTTCTCGCGACTCTACAGTCAATTTTTACACCACTCCCACCCCTTCTCCCCTATTTTTTACAATATATAATCTAAACAATAGCTAAATCAGAAGAAAGCAAGATATGAATCTCAATGTTTTAGCTTGAAAATTAGAGGAGAAGATAAATTTTAAACGAGGCGAAAATGCCAATTTGAACTGTTTAGGAGAGCCCTATAAGTGAAATGGATTAAAGAGGGTAAAGGCTAAAAAATTTGCTTGATAATGTAGCTTTCCTTGTAGCCTATAGCTTGTAGCAATGCCCAGCTTTCCCATCGCCTATGTCTGGTATTGAAGATACCATCATGCACCGCATGACATATTGTTATCCAGTTTAACGCGAATAATATCCTATGAATTAAATTTTTCCGAAATAAATTGTTGTACCTACATGTTTTTGAAAAATCATCATTTTATATAAATTTAGAACTGCCTCTCGCAAAAGCTGAAAAACTCAAATACATGCGGTTTTCCGCATCGACGCGTCTTTTCCGCAGCTACAAATGAGCTAAAAAACTAAATAAGCTAGGTTTTCGATTTTTGAACCTGACCCTTAAAGTACAGAACCGATTTTTTTCAATTTTAAATAAAGTATGCAAGAGAATAATGGATAACACAAGTGGGAATAGATTTATCATTGGAATATATGACAAAATAGGTGCTTAACTCTTCTCTTAGAAAAAATAGACATTACACGAATTATGAGAATCTTTTTATCCCGAATCTAGACAATAATTTCGATTTTCTCTCTCAACACAGTATTGCTTATATAGTCCCGAGGGGACGCCTCAAAGAAATTCGTCTTTTCATTTACGGATAAAATTCTAATAAGTGTAAATTTAGAATAAAATTTAATTTTAATTTCCATGCACATTCAACCTCATCTTAAATCATCTTAACAGTAGAATTTCACATCCTTGTAATAAGGCGATGCGAATGTTATTGTGGCTGTACGATGGAAAAGTCTTATACGATATTTCCAGCACAGGCTTCAACTATGCAAACAAAATAAATCACCACTCTAAATTATGAAATAGATTGTGATTATAATGACCAACTACATTAACTGTAACCTAGAAAAATCTGAATAATCCAAAGTAAATTTATTCAATGCTGATGAATTTCAGACAAGCAAAGACAACTTTTCATATTAGTGAATTTTGAAAAAAAAAATTTAGTTCATGTTGACATTAATGGCTGGATAATTCGAACGAGCTGAAGATATCATATGCGTTTGCACTCGACGCTCGTGTTCGGGTCACGAATGTAAATAAAATTATCACGGAACTCCTAAAATTGAGGTTTTGTCCCCTAGTGCTTATTGCAAGGCCATCATCGCAGAGTCTAATTTCCGATGCCCTCGCATTACACGGTACACAGGCGCAACGCGGTACCCTCAGAAGATGAGGTCTTCACACAGCGTGGTACCGTGAGATGAGGTGGTATCTTCGAAAAAAGTGAACTTCGAAAAAAGTATCTTCGAAAGTGATGACAGGGTACATTCTCACAGCAGATACCCAAGCGCAACGTGGAACCATAAGATGAGAATGAACCTTCGTACAGCGAGATATCTTCGTAAATCGTGATACCCTCGCATTACGCGGTACTCTAGGACCGCACGCAGGCGCCTAGCAACATGCGGTGCCCTCAGGTGGCATACTACCCCCACACAGCGCTTTGCCCTCGGACGCGAGATTCCCCCTTCACATTTTAAAGCCTCTGCACTCTCACATTTTAAGCAGTGCAGTTCGTGTTCCAGATTTTATTTGACCATTCCACGAGATGCGTCCTTAAAGTACGGATTCTACGTCATCTGACCGATATAACTGCAATTTTACTAGAATCTATCCAAAAAATTATTCGTGGTGATGCAGAAACGTAGATTCTAAGAGACTCCACGGAAATGATTCATAATTTCTTCAAATAAATTTAATTATTCTCCTAGAGGCAGGGATCACGCGAGTAGAATTTTCGAATATTAAAGTCACTTAAATGTTTTTTGTGACTCCAGTTAGCAATAATTACCTTCACATTTTAATCGATTATCGTTACATCACATGAAGGAAAGGAAAAAAACAGTTTACATTTTTAAAGCGTTGATGTAGTCAAATTTACATCTTGAGACCGTAGCTTCAACGTAACGCAGATAGACCTATAGATGGCATCATATCATTGTGAAGTTCAGCCCAGAAATGCAAGGCATTCATCCTTGACAAGACAAATAGGTCTTCGATGCAATACTCGGTCTATTTCTTTGAATCTGAAAGCAGCGTCGGATTGAATGATAAATTTGTTTTGTTCGCCGCGAAACGGAGACGAAGAAACGGAGTTGAATTTCGGGCTCGCGTAACGGGAGAAAATTGAGAACCTTCTAATTTTTCAGAAGTTTACTGACCATTCAAAAATTGCCCTCAATTACCACACGAGTTTAAATTCTGAACCCCACTGATAATACATCGTAGATCGTGATCAAATTTCGTAGCTTCGTCTTTGCTATGCACTAGCATCGGTGCAAAGCATCCTTGGCGCCACCATTTCAAAGAGTAATAAAATTGCACGTCATTATAGCAGTTTGGACTGCGTTTTAGTGCGGAGAGTCAATTAGTTAACATTAACGAGTGTCAGTTATTGGGATGAAATGGGCAATCTCCCAAGAGAGGAGCAAACAACGGAGCCGTTGTTGGCTTTTTAATTCAAATGTTTGATCAGTATTTATAACGATGTGCTTCCCAGAGTAAATAAGATTTAGCATGCGGAATGCTTATCCATACTGGCTTTCTGTCGTGATTTTTATAAAATGATTTGAACTCACTCCTGGAAAAAAGATAATGATTTCTAATAATTTGAGATTGGTTTGAGAGGAAAGAAATGAAGTGGTGCCTGCTCAATATTTCCCTACGAGGAAGTAAATGAAATGAATGAATTTGTATAACAAAATTTTAAGGCTGATGCTGTAGTTCATAATTTGGTCCAGTGTTGATCACATGAATATTAAATCCAACGTAGTAACTAATGCGGAGAACAAAGACAATTAAAAAAAATTATCGAGTAATTCTGTTGTCCCCCAACAAACTTGAATAGAGGTCTGAAAAAATTAATTAAAAAATTACCTATCGAGACTGGCGATAACTGATCGCTCTCATTATCAAGAGCGAGTCTCCAGCTATCAACCTCCAGACTACAACTGAAATTCGTCCGGACACTGAAATTATCTTCAGAGTAATTTTTAAGCTTAAATTTCAAATTGTGCCCACAATACCGTTGATTTGTACTACAGTAATTCCCAAAAGTTCAATTTAAAGTGTTGCAAAAACCTTCACCTGCTTGATAATGAAAATTGTATTTTCGAAACGTAGCATTTCATTAAAATGTCATT